ATATCTATTTTTCATCTTTCTCAACATCTTGTTGCATCATGAGCCAAAACAAATTCCTTCTATGTGATTTCCTGTTACTTACGATGGCAATAAAAATCATTCTGCTTCTGCTCCTGATGTGTTAGGCCGAGAGAAGTCCCTGAGTGCCTCCTTTTTTTTTAGATTTTTTGACATTTTTAATTTTGTCCAAAATTGCTGAAATTCAACAACTCGCACATGTGTGTCAAGCCAGCACATGTGGGAGCGTGCACATGTCATGAGTGTGCACGTGTGATGAGCGTGCACGTGTGCTGAGCGTGCACGTGTTAGTGCAGCAGACGCTGGAGCTGCTCATGTGGAAGTGACGGCTGCAGACGGAGACAGGGCTGTGTTTACACACACTGTCGTCTCACTGACTTCTCCCTCAGGACTCAAGCTCTGAGGCCTGTCAGACAAACACACACACACACACACACATACAAAGACACACACACACACACAAACCACATATGGAGCTGTGTGTGACACTGTGGGCCAACTCTTACTCTATCTACAAATGGAAGTGCGTCAGTCCTGGACTCATCTACTTCTTCAATTAAACTTGATTACTTTTGCTCCAACTTGCTCCTATTAACGTACATTGTCAAAGTAAACTCATCGAGCTCAGAAACTGTTTGTGTCTCACTCACCCTTTTGGGCTTAAAAATATGTGGTTTTGTCTCTTTCTGTGATCCTGGTGTTTATATTCTGATATTGTTTTTTGTGAATCCAATCAGAGGCCTTCCTTCACAGGGAACCCTCAGCTTTGCCTTAGCAACCGTCTTAGCAACACGTCTGCCCCTGTTACAGTGCGAAGCTAACGCTGTTGGAAACAAATGCCCATAAGGAAATTGGCTCCAGGCTGCAATCTCCAGCCCAACTCTTCCACACTAAGGCTAACACTATGGTGATGTCACACTCGGTGAGTCCACTCCTGATATAAACTCTTTGGGTTGGAATGACATCATATTTGTGGCTAGTATTTGAATGGTATATCTCCGCTTCTTCCTTGCGGTCTTCCCCTTGGTCCGTCTCACACATTCAGATCACACCACGTCCTCGGCTTGTGTTGCCATGGTAACTCCCTTTTCCTCCGGCTGTGATTTGGTAAACAGCTCTTTCAGGGTTAAACCGTCTCTTATGTGCGAGGCAGAGGAGCGGCCGAGCTGGAGCCTGCTTTCTGACCACACAGATATAACATGACACTGTGTCTATGTGGGCAATTCAATGTATTTGTTGAGCGTCGCCCTCAATCACAGCAGCAGTCGACTCGGAGGACTTTGCAAAGTTGTGGATTCGCCAACAACAGATCAGAGAATCAAACAATATCAACACAGGGGAGTCATTGGTCAGAAATGCTCATCATAAATCTGCGATCGTCACTGTCCTTTAACGTGAACTCCTCAAGCTCAGCAACCATTTGTTTCACACTCACCATTTTGGGAATAATTATGTAAAGGAGCGTTGTCAGTAGAGCTGCAACTAACGATTATTTTGTAATCGATTAATCTATCGATTATTTTTACGATTAATCGAGTTATCGCTTGGCTGTGAATTGTGTAGAAAAAAATTATTTTTTCATCACAAAAAGCTAAAGTGGCAACACTCGAGGACGTATTGATGGCGTAAACTTAAAGTAAATGTTTGTAACAGGCTCTTTGTGCTAATTCTGCTATCTGATTGGATGACAGACAGATATTCATGAATAAATAAAAACAAAGTCGGTTTTAATCAAAAATACTAAATTTTCATGTCATTTTTGCTCTGTTTGAGTCCGTGTGAACCAGAAAACGATTAATCGATTTCTAAAATAGTTGTCGACTATTTTAATAATCGATTAGTCGTCGATTAATCGATTAGTTGTTTCAGCCCTAGTTGTCAGTACTGTAAAAATAGGCTCAGAAAGGAATTTATAAAAGTGTTTGAAAGGACAAACAATGGGAGATTTATGCCCTGATTAGTACTGTTTCTGTACTTAGAACCTTTACGCTCGCAAAAATATATGTTCTCGCTTGAATATATTTCAATACAAGAACATAATTGTAGGCTTGTATTGAAATATATTCAGTTAGGCTCATATTTATTTTTACTGATTTGAAAAAAGCCAGGATGAAACATGGATATATAAAACCATCAAGAGGGGCCTCACTTTTACCAAGGGCCTCCAAAAGTCTAGAAACGGCTGTGTATATATGACAGGGATGGATCAAAAATCAACTCCAGGTCTGTTTTTGACAAGGAACAATGTTGTGCCATGGTCAAACAATGTTCATTTTGCTGAAAATATGCAAATCCATGTGTTTGGAGGAAGAAGTCCGGAGCGGTGGTGATGAATGCAGAGATGCCCACGCTCCTCTCCCCACAATGGGAGGTCTCAGTCTCAGTCTCGGTCTCGGATTCGGACTCGGTCTTGGTCTCAGTGTTGAGCAGGAAGTGGCTCTGATGAAGCAGCTCAGTGTGTCCGCGTGTTTATACATTCATGTCACCAACACAACAGCTACACAATCTGCAACATCTACACAATCAACAAAATCTACACAATCTACAACATCTACACAATCTACAACATCTACACAATCTACAACATCTACACAATCTACAACATTGACACAATCTACAACATCTACACAATCTGCAACCTCTACACAATCTACAACATCTACACAATCAACAACATCTACACAATCTACACAATCTACAACATCTACACAATCTACAACATCTACACAAACTACAACATCTACACAATCAACAAAAGCTACACAATCTGCAACATCTACACAATCTACAACATCTACACAATCTACAACATCTACACAATCAACAACATCGACACAATCTACAACATCTACACAATCTACAACATCTACACAATCTACAACATCTACACAATCAACAAAAGCTGCACAATCTGCAACATCTACACAATCTACACAATGTACAACAGAAACAGAGAGGAAACAGCACTGAACTCACTACGGCTGATTATGTAACACTCTGCTTTTGGATTGTACCATGTAAGAAGAAAGTACTAGGGTTTCTCACACACACAGATATTAACGAACACACACACAGGCACACACACATGCTCACCTAGACACACGCACACACATGCTCATGCACACACAGATATGAACACACATACATGCACACATGAACAGACGCTTATAGAAACACACACATAGACACACAGACATGAATATACACACACACTAACATATAGCCATGAGTACACACACAGACACAGATATAAACACACACAGATATGAACACACACATACACACACAAGCACACATGCATGCACTCACACAGGCACACACAAGCCCACTCACACACAGATATGAACACATACACGCACACGCTCATACACACACACAGGCACACACGGCCATAAGCACACAGACACACACACACACACAGGCACACACAACCATAAGCACACACACACACACACACACACACAGAGACACACACACAGCGCTGGAATAAATGAGCACATAAATGATTGATGACATCACTTCCTCTCTGTCTCACACCTGAATATTTTATGAATGAATCTGAAATAAACTGCTTTGTTTAGTTTGACAGAAGTAAATTGAACTTCTGTCAAAACAAAGCATGTTACAGAATATATTATAGATAAGAGAAGAGGAGACAAGAGAGGAGGGAAGGAGAGGGGAGGGGAGGGGGAAGGAGAAGGGAGAAGAGGGGAGGGGAGAGAGGAGGAGAGGAAAGGGGATGAGAGGAGGAAACGAGATGGGAGACGAGGAGGTAACCACGGCACACTCACCATTTTGAGTTTTAAAAATCCATGGTTTATTGCTCTCTGTGATCCTAGTTTGTATTGTGATGTTTTCTTTGTAAGTCCAGATATGAGCCATATAAGGATTGATCAAACAGATGTCTACAGATTGCCTTAGCAACCACCATAGCAACACATCTACTCTTGTTACGGTACAAGCTACCGTCAAAGTTTGGGTCTAATCCTGTGATTCTCGAGTCAAAAATGTAAACATTTGGTTTGTTAAATGCGCTATACAATATAAGAAACAGCAGTTGTCTCGGAGGACTTAAAGGAGCTAACAAAGTTGACAGTTCACCAACAACAGATCAGACAATCAAACCTTTCAGATGCAATTCTAACAAACACATAGAAGCCATTGGTCCATAGGAAGTGGGATGACCACTGTCCCCAGGAAAGCACTGATATCGATACTGGTATCGGGTATCGCAACAGCAGACAACTGTGCGGTACATGTTGCCATGGTGATCTCCAAAAGTTGGCAGCGAGAAAGCGCTTGCTGCTAGCTTAGGGGTAGCTTAGCTTAGCCGCTATCGTAGCTTAGCTGCTATCTTAGCTTAGCCGCTATCTTAGCTTAGCTGCTATCTTAGCTTAGCCGCTATCTTAGCTTAGCTGCTATCTTAGCTTAGCCGCTATCTTAGCTTAGCTGCTATCTTAGCGGCAAGCGGACAAGATGTCTACATGTTGTAAACGAGTGACAGTCAGGAGTAAAGCGGACTGTACGTTGCGTAAGGCAAGGCAGGAGATGGGTCCAAAAAACACAAATAACACTAGCCACTTGATCAAACATCTGAAAACTCACCACAGAGTATAACACCTTTGCTAGCACCGGAGCCCAAAAACAACAAACTCTACAACAAACTTTGAAGAAGCAGCTATTGCTCTGTACCATTTGTATGGTGGAATATGACAGTGGCTCTTATTGTTGACTGTTGTCAACAACTGTTAAAACATTTTCTTATGGTTAAAATGAGAAGTAAAACATTTAAAATGTTAGTGTAGTTTTATGAATTCCCAGGGAGAACACAATGCAGTACACATATTGGTATTCGGTATCAGCAAGTACTCAAATTAAGGTACTTGTATTGGTGACCGGAGTGAGACCAGAGAGAGCTCAGTGAAAAACAATAACACACACATAGGAAAACGTATTCATGTTATCATTCAAAGATGACTCACCCTCCTCCTCGCTGGAACCCCTCTCCACGGCGGCGTACAGCGGCGGCGTGGCGGCGGCCGTGCTCTTAGTGAAGATGCCGCTGATGAACTTGAGCATCTTGCGGTCTCTAGGGGGCGCTCTGTGTTTGACGTCGTCTGTGAACAGGGGCAGGTCGCTGTTGTCCAGAGTGCGACTGGTGCCTTTCCTGGCGCCCCGGGGGGCGGGCTCGGAGGGCGGCAGGACCACGGACACCGCCTTGAACCTGAGGGTCGGAGGTCAGAGGTCAACACACGTTAGGGGTCTTCAGTCTGGCTCTAAATATGATCAATAGTTTCGGCCAAAGAAATCCATTTGTGTTGGATCTGTGTCTGGTCATCTCTTCTCTCCTTTCATGTTGAGTTTTGTTTTGTCCAGACACTGAACCAAGAGCAGAAATAGTTCATGAACGATTTATACAAAAAGTGATTGGCCAGAGTGCTGAGCCATGGTTACCAAGTAATTTCCACAAGTACTGGTTTATTATGGGTTGGTAGCAAGGATACGGTACCAGGTACTAAAGCGTGATGGAATAACGACCAGATAGAGTAGAGTAGAGTAGAGTAGACAGGAGTAGAGCCAAGTAGGGCTGGTGGAAACCCCGCTATATAGAAATTAGTAGTTCTTTTTACTTTTTACCTGTATTTAAACAGGAAAGTCCCATTGAGATTAAGAACCTCTTTTTCAAGGGAGTCTTGGACAAGAGGCAAATAGTTTAAATCTGGTTGTTTTAATTTAGGTAGTATTTCTTGCCTTAATAAACTGGCCTCATTCATGAAAACAAAGTGGAGCAGTTCTGGGGTTTGACCGTAGTTCCTCAGGTAAGAGGAGGATGTTAGAAGTGACCCATATTTCACAAAAACACAGGCGATTAATATTGCAGGAGAAACAGGACCCACTGATTTAGAAAGGAGGGAGACCAAAAGATGAATTGTGCTGTATAAATAAACTTCAAATGCTTAAAGCTGGGGTACGTAAGTAGTAAATCAAAACTAGGTCCTTTCTCTCAAAACCAAGGGCGTAGGTTTGCGTGGGGACCATGGGGACATGTCCCCACCAATATTTGGTGAGGACTAAAAAGTCCCCACCAAAATGACATGATGTCCCGTGACCCGGACGGTCCGGGACACATGTCTTCCGTTTGTGCATACGTCGTGCCTCCTCCTCGCCTCCAGAGCAACAGCAGCAGCAGCAGCACGTGACCCGTTCCGTTCTCTGCAGTGATTGGCTGTCTTCTTCAGCGCCAAACTGAAGCACTGAGCAACTGTTTAATTTTTAAAAGTTAGCCAGCGTGAAGCAAGTGTTTTTTTTCGTTCCCTGAGCGTTGTAGCACGTGAGTAATCAGAGGAAAGTACTGTAGATCTATTACCATTCAAAGTACTTACGTTATTTCTAATCTGTCAGCGCACTGTTTAATGTTCCGAGGAGCTCAAACGGCACAGAGACAGAACAGAACTGGCTCCAATAAAGAAACAGGTTGGTTGAAAGGCTGAAAAAATACTTATTGTGCTCTTACTATACAAAATGTATAAGTGGGTGTGTTGTGTGAATCAGGATAAACTAGGGATGAAAATATTCCACGGATCCACGATTTACAACCTTTATCTGCTGATAATGTAATTTCTGTGAAATGTGTGACAGCGGGCACTTGCTGTTATTTGCTCTAAGCACATTCAAGAGATGCACTCGAATGTGCACGTCCTGGTGCAGCTGCTGCCGCTTTGTAATGACAGCCGCGGCGCTCAGTGAAAGCACAGCTCTAACATGGTACCGAGCTCGGACCATATGCAGACAGAACCATGTTGCAAGTGCGGGTCTCCCTCGTATCTCCCCCGTTTCTCCCCTGTGTCTCTGACATGTCTCTCCCCTGACTCTTCCCAAAGCGCAACCAGCGCTCCCGAAATTAAAGCTCGGATACCTAAATTTTCCATTGCGTTAACGATGCATGCTGGTTGTGCGCAAAACACACCACAACAGGTCATTTAAGTTTTTATTTTGCATACTTGAGAGCCCGGTGAGTCATTACTTGCCTTTTTGGGTTGAGAGTGGAATAAAAAAAAGAAAATATAGAAAAATCCACACTGTTACTTATTGCCAAACTCTTGTTAACTCATTGTATTGAGAAATACTATGTAAGACATTGGCCAAGTTATATAAATGATTCTGCAGTTCATGTATATGAATGTCTGTTTTTGATTGTCTATACCTTCTTATATAATTTAGAAAAAATGCCACCTCCACAAATAAGATAAAAGATATCAGGAGCTTTTTTAACAGTTGGAAAGTAAGTAAGAGAAAGCACAAGTAATAGCAAATTATGAATTGTGATGATTAATCTTCTGTTAACATACATAACTGCTTCTCATTCAGTCTACAGCTGAGTTTAGTATAGAAGGCAACACACTATTGCAAATATAGTGTGTGATTACACAACAAATTCTGGGGGAGAAACTCTGGACCCCGTGTCAATGGGTGTAGACTCAGGTCGTAGTGAATGTCCCCACCAAGATTGGAACCAAACCTACACCATTGCTCAAAACAGTTGCACATGTATCATGGCCTCTGTCACAAGAGGCAAAGAGAGGACAACACTCACTCAGAGCAGAAAGAGAGTCCAGATAGACACCAGAGAGAGAAAGAGATCAGAGAAACCAGAGATATCACCGAGAGAGACCAGATAGACACAAGAGAGAGAGACCTCTGTCACATATTTAGATCAGCTTTTTCAGACTTTTCAGACAGAAAAGAGGGTGCCTGAGTGACCACCCTCAATCACCCAATAAGCTCTCAGAATTAATCAGCAGTCTTTTGTCAGCACTAAAAGCTGAAATCCTCTCATACCTGTCTCCCGGTGGACTGTCCCGGGCCATGATCCCAGAGTACCCTCCACTCATGGGGACCCCAGGCCGGATCAGCGTCCCCCGGCCCTCGCTGTCGGCCCAGGACGCTCTGTAGGGGCCCAGGGTGGAGGTGGCCATAAGCGGAGACTGGTCCCCTGCGCGCTGCTCCCTGCGCTCCAGCGTCTGCGCTGCGTGGTACTGGTTTGGGTCGCGGAGGTCTCTCCAGGCCGAGCCGGATCCGCTCTGAGGCCGCATGAGCACCTCAGGCCGTGGGTTCACCTGGGGCAGATGGAGACAGAAGCATACGTTTCCATATACAAGGAGACTGTCAGTTTGGGGCCCTCAGGAGCCATATTTGACGCAGCCCTTTTCAAATTCTACTCTACTCCAGCCTGATCCAGAGTCCTGTTTGACTGGCACAAGGGACTCTTTTTGCTCTTGTTAAGTCCTTGCTTTAGCCAAAGGCAATAACCCATGGTCTTCAAATCAATCAGAAAGGGCCAACTACCCACTAAGCAAGCCGACGTTGAATCAACGTAATTTGAACGTCGTTGTCCGACGTAGAATATAGGTCACTGGTGGGTGCAGAATGAAAGTTTTCTCGACGTCGTTTCCCGACGTCACCTCAACCTCCAAATGTAACGTTGATGGCACGTCAATTCAAGGTTTGAATGTGGTACGGAACCGGTCGGGTCTGACGTCCTATCAACGTCTCATATGACCAAAATATTGACGTTTATATGACGTTCGTTTTCAGTCGTTCCCACTAAGCAAGCAGATGTCAAAACTATGTCATTTCAACGTCATCTGGACGTTCATTCAAGGTTGCAATGTGGTACAGAACCGGTCGGGTCCGACGTCCTATCAACGTCTTATATGACCAAAATATTGCCTTCATATGACGTTCGTTTTTCGTTGTTCCCACTAAGCAAGCAGATGTCAAAACTATGTCATTTCAACGTCATCTGGACGTTATCTGGACGTTCAAATGACGTCGCGGCCACTTCATTCAAGGTTGCAATGTGGTACAGAACCGGTCGGGTCTGACGTCCTCTCGACATCTTATATGACCAAAATATTGACGTTTATATGACGTCCATTTACAGTCCTATTGACATACTTAACCTCTGCAGAATCACTCACTGGTCGAGACATACTTTTTGCAATAGGCAAGGCAAGTTTATTTGTATAGCACAGTCAAAACAAAAGGAAACTCAAAGCACTGAACAAAAGATAGAAACAATCAAACAAGGCATTACAATTATAAATATTGACTGTAAATTAAAAAGAAACAAATAAAATCTCTCATAAAATCTCTCAGTTGAAGCAGAAACAGAAGTGTTTTAAACCTGGATTTTAACATTGTCAAAGAAGAAGCCTGTCTCACATTTCCAGGAAGACCGTTCCAGATTTTAGCCTTGTGAATCTGAAATGCAGCTTTATCATGTTTAGTTCTGACTCTGGGCAATAAACGATAAACACAGCATTCAAAAATCATTAGAACAACTGTAGTAGAAGGATATCAGTCATTACTGCAAATGGAGCTGCATTAAAAATCATGTTTCTCTACATCAAAGTACAAGTTAAACCACACAGGGCACAGTGTTATGAACACTACTGTACTGAACAGTTCATGCCAAAGTAAAAAAACATGATTGTAGCGCCTATGTTTGGATCAGTATTAAAACAGGCACAAGCTACACTCTAGGTTCCCCAGATGTAAAAACACAATCTGAAAGGCAGAAGAATGCATTTATTGATTGTTGATGTTCCAACATGTGTCCTCTCTTGGTCTTCAGTCTCTCATCACAAGGTCCAAGCACAGCACCTGAAAATGTGGAACATGTTTAGTTTCAACATAATGTGGCAAAGTGATATAACAACACATAACATTCTATTAATGCCTCAAACCACTCGATCCATCACCATGTGATACAAACCTTGGCACTGCACTAGCTCGAGACACTGGAAGACACTCCGTCTGAGAAACTTGGGATAAGGCTTTGGTCATTGGAGTAATTCCATGTAAAAAAACAATTGCAAATGTGCATTTGTTTTGCACATGGACACAAATGAGCCCTGAAAGCTACTTACCCTGTATTACTCTATATGTTGCACTTCCGAGGGGGCATCTTCCCCTTGTTGCTCTTTTCCCTCATCTGAGTGAGTTGCTGAACAATCTGAGAAAAAGATAGATGTTTTCAAAGAGAATACACCAAATAATGGTTTATTCTCAAAACAACATAATAATACAGAAGAACAATCAATGTGTGAGAGTGTGATTCTTACCTTTGAACACCTTCAACACAGTCTGACACCTGTAAGACTCAAACACACATGACACATTAGGAATACACACAGAACATTAGTTATTGCAACAATCATGAAATTATACTCTATGGATTTCACAATAATTGACTGCATTAGCAAAGGTAAATTTATTTTAATTAACATATGGCTGGTTTTAAAGTTTATAAGAAAAAGTAAGAAATTGAATAGAGTTGCAAGCGCTAGTTAGCTTGCTACCAGCAGATGAATGGATATTTAATATTTGCAGCTAACAATAACAAAAATAACAACTGTAGTGGCTCATTTAAACAGCCACAGTGAGAAGAAGTGAAAGTCTCTGACATTGAAGATTTAATGGGAAGACATTAAATCCATTTATTAAACAAAGCAATACACGAACATTAAACTCTCTTTCTGCAGCAGGTAACATCTGTGTGCTCCTATGGTCCCACATGGTCCCACATGGTCCCACACCTGAACTCAACTCCAACTGATGACATCACAGGTGTCTAAATGATGGGAGTGTCCCAAATAGTAAAGCTGATCTCCCTGTTTTTAAACTTAGTTTACTAAGTACTGTTGTCTTTTTGCAGTTTATAAACCATTGTGAAATATACAGTAACTTTACATTTTAGAATTGAATTATTATTTTAAAACTCAAGAATCTTAACCTTTTTTAACACATACTTTGTTGGACAGTCTAACCTAAGAATTCTAATGTGTTAAAAATAGTTTGAAATATGAAAAACAATATCATATTTTAAACTTTAACTTAAAAACTAAAAAAAGGTGTCTCCCTTTCAGCTGAGCAGTGCCAGCCGTTATTATTATAGATTCATGCACTGGCAATTCAAAATACAGATAATATACAAAATATACTTAACAAAATCCACGTATACGTGAGAAAACAACTTACTTTCTGTCTCCAACTCTTTTCAATGTGGAAATGATACATCTATATCTAAAAACTGTGCAGACTGTGTACTTACTAGAGAGGGTGATTACAAGTAAATAAAGCAGGGCAGCGACAGAGGTACAGATTCAACGTCATATCAACGTCTGGGAAGGCATTGCTTTACGTCCAGATGCACACCTTACGTCGTTTAGACGTGGAAAACAGGTCCTCGACCGAGCGACTCACGTGTCAGGCTGTAAAGTTATGGGCTCGACACACGGGAGGCGACATCGCATCGCCTCCATTCATTTTCAATGGGACGTGCGCGACATAGCGTCAATCGCTAGCGAGCCTCCTGCTCAGCGACGAGCGACAGCGTTGAGTTTCGCTGAAGGGCTCGACACACGGGAGGCGACAAATGAGAGCGATCAGCGAAACTCAACGCTGTCGCTCAGATAACATGACAGACGGGGCGCGATGCGGCTTGACGACAGCGTCGAAAAGTTGAGCCGATTTCAACTTTCTGGGATCGCGTCGCTGACCTGCGCGTGCACGATACATGCACGAGCGGGAGGATTTCACACGCACGTTTTTCGCCCGTCGCTGAGCAGGAGGCTCGCTAGCGATTGACGCTATGTCGCGCACGTCCCATTGAAAATGAATGGAGGCAATGCGATGTCGCCTCCCGTGTGTCGAGCCCATGATCGCTCTCATTTGTCGCCTCCCGTGTGTCGAGCCCATAAGTGTGCGTCGGTTGTTTAGGGTGTTATCTATTATTTTTTCACAGTAGTCAGACAAAATGCCTGGCCGTGGTGTAGCGGTTGCGTAATGAGACTTCAGTCGCAAAGACGCGGGTTCAAATCCCCGTTGGAAAACTTTTGAGTTTTCACTTTTTAGCGAACAATTTTTCTGTTTGGTTAAAAACGAATAAACACTCAACATAAGATTATGTAATGGCTAATAATAAAACTTGTGAACCCATGCATTTGCATAAAATCTCAAGTGCTCACCCCTTATTTGCAAACTTGAGATTGTTAGCACAACAAATGCATACATTCACAAGTTTTATTATTAGCCACTACGTAATCCTATGTTGAGTGTTTATTAGTCTTTAACCAAACAGGAAAAAATTGTTCGTTAAAAATCAAAACAAATATATAAAGATAATAATACACACACGTAACCAAGACTGCACACATCTGCTTAACCACTATACCGTCAGGTTCACTTATATTGCTTCACAGCTTATATATTGTATTGCTAGATCAAGACGTACTGCGTCGGTCGGCCGATGACCTGTTTTCGACGTCTAGGGGAGGTCGGGATTGAACGTCATATCCACGTATATGGGAGGTCATTGTTTTACGTCCAGATGCGCACCTTGCACAGACGTCGTTTGGACGTAAATAAAAGGTCACGACCGACCGACGCGATATTGACGTGATCTGGAGGTTGAGTGGACGTCGGATGTTTAGTGGGTAGCAGCAGGTTTTCATGCCAACCCAGAAGGAACCCACCAGCCCACACCTATTTTATCAACCAATTTTACTCTCTTTTTTTTGTTTGTTTCTTGCCGAGGGTCTAAAGTCATGATCAGGAACATTTAATGACCTTTTTTTGTTTTATTTTATTATGTCTTTTTCAAAATTGTTTTTAATTTCCCCATTGTTTTTGCAGCATTCTTCTTTGAATCACATTTCTGACAGATCACAGACTTAAGAAATAAAGTTAGTGACTAATATAAATATTTAGCCGTTGTCATTCCCCCATTTCAACCTGAGCAATGAGGGGCATATGATTGCAGTCTCCTCCTGTTAGAATTCATCCAGTCCACCAACGCTTATTACAAAGTTAGATTTAGATCAAGATTTTGCAAACAGATGCTCGAGCCACCTCAACTGGTTCCTCGTGGAGAAGCAGCAACTCTACACCGAGCTCCTCCCGTGCGACTGAGCTCCTTTCCCTATCTCCAATGGAGCGTCTTGCCACTCTACGAGGGAAACTCATGTGGAGCGCTTGTATCCGCAATCTCGTCCTTTCAATCGTTACCGAAAGCTGAGATCCAGAGGTGAGGAAAGGAACGTGGACTGAGCTGCAAATGAAGAGCTTTGACTGCAGACGTTGCTCCCTCTTTACCACAACAGTCCGATACAGCGACATTATCACTAACTGCCTTTAGACAGAATTCTAAATCACCAAACGCCAAAGATTCACAATTGGTCCATATCGTTCCACTTACTTTCCAGGCCTGGGATCGGGTACGGTTGTTCACCTCGGCTCCATTCTCTCCCTTCAGGTACAGCAGGGGCGGCTCTCTGTACAGCTCGGTCTTGGGGCGGATGGTGTCGGAGCGGGGCCCTTCGCGGTGCACAGGGGCCTCGGACGAGCTGCCGTACACTTTGACCATTTGCCGCGGCGGAGGGTGCGCGAACGCCGGCTCTTTGCTCTTGGGAACGGCCGGGAGGTCCTTCTGCGGCACCGGGCTCTCGCGCCTCTCCGCACGGACATTGGTGAGATCCGCCGGGCTTCCGTGTCTCAGAGGCTGCACCGGAGTCTGGGGGAGTCAACAGAGGCATCAGATATAGACTTCTATTTCAGTATTTCGGCAGGAGAGACTGGAGAGAGAGACCAGAGGTACACCAGAGAGAGACAAGAGAAAGACAAAAGACCAGAAAGAGAGACCTGAGAGAGACCAGAGAGAGACCAGAGAGAGAGACCAGAGAGACCAGAGAGACCAGAGAGAGACAAGAGAAAGACCAGAGAGACCAGAGAGAGAGACCTGAGACCAGAGAGGGACCATAGAGAGACCTGAGAGAGACCAGAGAGAGAGAGACCAGAGAACGACCAAAGACCAGAGAGACCAGAGAGAGAAAGACCAGAGGGATAGACCCAAGAGAGCGAGACCACAGAAATAGTTCATAGAACAGAGACAGAGACCTGAGAGTGACCAGAGATCGAGCAGAGGCAGAGAGACCAGAGAGATTATAGAGAGAAACTAAAGAGAGAGACTCGAGAGATACCAGAGAGGGACCAGAGAGAGAGTCCAGAGAGAGACCAGAGAGTCCAGAGAGTCCAGAGAGTCCAGAGAGTCCAGAGAGAGACCAGAGAGTCCAGAGAGAGACCAGAGAGTCCAGAGAGAGACCAGAGAGTCCAGAGAGAGACCAGAGAGACCAGAGAGAGAGATCAAGTTCTGGTTTGATGAAGCCAACAGGACAACACGGTCTACAAACATCATAGATTAAATCCTGTGGTCCCCAAACCAGACTCCTAAAGGTTCTGGGCGATGGTTCAAGGGGAAAACTCTTATGAAAGCAGTAAATAATAGGATTTCTTCTTCTGTGATGTGTAATAAGTACAAATGGACAGGTACCTGAACTTTGTGGACTTGAGGCATCTGCGGCAGATCCTCCACCCGTGGACTTTGTCTCTCTACAGGAGGCCTGGGGCAAAGACTGGGCAGTTCTCTCTCCGGGACCCTCTGGATCTCCTCATATCTGTAGTCCCCCTCTCTCCTCTGGATCTCCTCATATCTGTAGTCCCCCTCTCTCCTCTGGATCTCCTCATGCCTGTAGTCCCCCTCTCTCCTCTGGATCTCCTCGTGCCTATAGTCCCCCTCTCTCCTCTGGATCTCCTCATGCCTGTAGTCCCCCTCTCTCCTCTGGATCTCCTCATATCTGTAGTCCCCCTCTCTCCTCTGGATCTCCTCATGCCTGTAGTCCCCCTCTCTCCTCTGGATCTCCTCGTGCCTATAGTCCCCCTCTCTCCTCTGGATCTCCTCATGCCTGTAGTCCCCCTCTCTCCTCTGGATCTCCTCGTGCCTATAGTCCCCCTCTCTCCTCTGGATCTCCTCATGCCTGTAGTCCCCCTCTCTCCTCTGGATCTCCTCATGGCTGTAGTCCCCCTCTCTCCTCTGGATCTCCTCATGCCTGTAGTCCCCCTCTCTCCTCTGGATCTCCTCATGTCTGTAGTCTCCCTCTCTCCTCTGGATCTCCACCTCCTCGTGTTTACGCTCAGCCTCTCTCTGCAGCTCCTCACACTCCTCCCTCACATTTTTCTTCTCATTTTTCTCCTCTAAGCTCTCGTCCTGGACCTGCTCCTCTGGTTTCAGCTGGCACTCTGGGCTTTGGTCTTGGACCTGGTTTGGAGAAGAAGAAGTCAGTGTTAAGTTACATAATTTTTACAGTATTCAGGAATCATCTTCATAATAAAATCTAACTCCCGAATCCAAAATCTTGAGATCCTGAGAAATATAGACCGAATGTTAGGAGTGGACTGACCGAGTGGAGACATGACCACAGTGTCAGCCTTAATGCAACAGGAGAGGATCGGGACCTCTACACCTGGAGTGGACCGGACCTCTACACCTGGAGTGGACCGGACCTCTACACCTGGAGTGGACCGGACCTCTACACCTGGAGTGGACCGGACCTCTACACCTGGAGTCGACTGGACCTCAACACGTGGAGTCGACCAGGACCTCTTTTTTGTGGTTCTTTTGAAATACAGGTTTATATGTACTGCCTTGTTAGCATGTTTCGGCTGCAGAGCTGCGTTAATACATCTAAACTTAATTTTCAAAACCATTTAAAAAAAACATAAAAAGCATTTTAACTCAAGACAAAATGATTTTTTTTTAAATCAGAACCAGGACCTCTATACCTCCTGTTGACAATCTCTGTTTGGGCTGTGCATTTTGGAGCACTCACCTGTGGTTCCGGTTGCTTCTCTGTGTCCTCCCCCTCCTCCGCCTTCACCAGGGCCTCCTCCCCCTCCTCCCCCACCGCCTCAACCTTCACCAGGGTGAGGGAGATGAGGTAGGTGGTGGTGCGCTTTTGTGGCTGCTCGTCGGAGCTCATGGCGGCGACAGACGGAGGCTCCTGCAGCTCAGCCACACCTGCCACACTCACACCTGTACAGGACAGAGGGGAACCGGATAACCACAGTCTTTGGGGTATAAACCATCGAGCGTATAGGAGGAGTGGTCTGACCGAGTGTGACATCACCACACTGTTAGCCTAAATATGCAATTTGAACATAAGTTAGGTGGAGCCAAGTTTCTTATAAGGGCATTTCTTTTGCGGCATTAGCTTTGTGCCAAAACAGGTGCAAACGTGTTGCTAAGACGGTCGCTAAGGCAATCTTGAGATTCCTCCGTCAAAGAAGCCATCTGATTGGTCAATCCTTATATGGACACCAGGATCACAGAGAGGGCGCTAAACCACTTTTGTTTTAAGCCCAAAACAGTGTCGTCAATCTAAGCTGATAGGAGCCAGAGCCAAAACTTTGTCCATGTAACTTATCCCCATTGGGCTTCATTGAGCTTGCTGGTTACCATTGTCCATCTGTGTACAACCTGCTCATGGACCACAGGTGTAGATTAGCACTCCTGCTATTACCTGGTACAAAGCATCATGCTTTGTTTATTGTACACTCTCCCTGTAGAAATCAGACTCATGACCATGGCAGTAAAGTACACACTCTCAACTCAACTTTTGGCCAGAGGTTAAAGATTGTGCTAGTGGTTGTGTGATGCCATATATAATCAAATACACATTATTATTGTTTTATTATCCAATGATAACGTAATTGAGTCGCTCTGGGGAGATATCAAATGTGCAGTTCATGTAAGGCAGCCCAGGAATTTACAAGAACTGGTGGCTTTTTGCCAAGAAGAATGGGCAGCTTTATTTTCAAAGAGAGACTGTGAGACCAGAGGGACCAGGGAGGGAGACCAGAGATGGAGAGAGACACACACTGAGGAGGGACCAGAGAGAGACCAGAGAGAGAGACTAGAGCAGGGACCACCAGTAGCTCACCACCCCCTTCCAGGTAGCACGCCAAAGGAGTGAGAAATGAACAAATCAAACGATATACTTAATATTTCCGATTGTATTATTCATTGTGATTATTTATAATCATAAATGCACTTACTTTGTGCAAAGTAATAATTATGCAATGATAAATAATGACTGTACCCAATATCAGGCTCTTTCACACCGATATATCTCCACATTATATCCCAGTGCCACTTAAAGGAATAGCTCTCTGCCTTTATCGTCCCAGGGAAATAGTTCTCTCGGTGAAAAAGGTTGGAGACCCCTGGACTAGAGAGAGACCAGACAGAGAGTGAAAGATTAGAGAGCGACCAGAGAAAGACCAGAGAGAGAGAGACCAGAGACCCAAGCTCAGAAAACTACAATTTCGCCCAACATGTCGACCTTAACAGATATTTAAAGGGAAAGGACACCACCAGAACAGCATTTGAATTGATTTTCACCACCGGCTGAAGCTCGTCACAGCCGTGTCCGCAGGGGGAACATAAGCTGCTTTTTAACGCTGATTTTACTGCTGCCTCTGAGAACGAAACGGATTCACTAATTTAATTTTATTGGACAGATACATCCCCTACGCCCTTAAATCTGTTTTATTTCTATGTGTTTATTTTTACTCCTCTCCTTTTACAGCAGTTTGGTTTTAAAATGAGTGTATAAATATCACAGGTCTCTCTCTGGTCTTTCTCTGGTCTCTCTCTGGTCTCTCTCTGGTCTCTCTCTTGTCTTTCTCTGGTCTCTCTCTGGTCTCTCTCTGGTCTCTCTCTGGTCTCTCTCTGGTCTCTCTCTGGTCTCTCTCTGGTCTCTCTCTGGTCTCTCTCTGGCACCTTAGAGATAGAGTGAGGAGGTTGGAATAGAGCAGCTGCTTCTCCAGAAGAGGCAGTTGAGGTAGGTCGGGCATCTGTTTGGGATGCCTCCTGAACGCCTCCCTGGGGAGGTGTTCCAGGCATATCCCACGAGGAGGAGACCAGGAGAAGATCCAGGACACGCTGGAGGGACTGTGTCTCTCAGCTGGCCTGGGAATTCCTCGGGTTAACCCGGGTGAGTGTGTGGAGAGGGAAGTCTGGGCGTTTGCTAAGACTACTGCCCTCACAACCCGGCAATTGATAAAATGGAAGAAAATGGAAGAAAAATGGAAGAAAAAGACAATTGTCTAAGTAAAACGTCCATCCATTTTACAAACAATTATAGCACTGCTCAACTTTGTGTGACCTTGGTTGGTGAAATGCACTATACAGATAAATATTATATACTTTTTTACTTGAACTAAATACTTATGATTGAATAGTTAATTTGCAAAAACAGATGAGCCAGAGAAAGACAAGAGAGAGAGAGACTAGAGAGAGCGACCAGAGAGGGAGACCAGAGAGAGAGAGACTAGAGAGAGAGAGAGACCAGAGAGAGCGACCAAAGGAAGACCAGAGATAGAGAGGGAGGGATCAGAAAGAGACCAGTCCGATCACAATAAATGCAATAATAACAAACACATTGAGCCATTGGTCCATGGGAGGGAAATGTCCCAAATATGTATCCATATATTGCCTACTTAATACATTACTTCACATTAGCCCCATTTCCACCAGCCCTACTCTACTCCACTCTAGTCTACTCTACCTGATATCCTCGCAACCTACCACAACAAACCAACAAATGAGGAAAGCCCTTGATAACACTGGTGTCCAGCAGCACTGGCCAATCACTGTCATTTGGTTCCAGCTCGGCCTGGAACCAGGACCAGGACAAGGGGACTGAAGAAGGACCTGGTAATGGTTATACAGGACCGGTGGAAACACTCTCAATAAGGATAGAGTAGAGAAGAGTTGGGCTGGTGGAAACAGGACATATTGTAATATTTGGGACAGACCCTGAGGGGAGAGCGCATAGTCTGTGTTTGGAGCGTAATGGGAATCCAAAAATATGAATATATAAAAAGATACTAAAAGGAAAGCCCAAATTGGACTTTTCAGTGGCCATTTTGGAAGGATTCTGTGGCTTCATTTATCATAGTAGTATTTGTGAGATATACATGACAGCTCAAAAAAGCTTTTTACATCATCTCTGTTCCAAATCGGTGTCGAGCCCATTCCATCGAGTCAACATTGAGTTTGAAATAACATAGTGCTTTATACGCTGCACTTGTTGATAGAGTCGTTAGTAATATACCCTAAATTCCTGTGCTGCATTCTCCTCCTAATTAGCAGAATCTCCCCAAAGCCCCAGTCTTTCCCAGTGGAGAGTCTAGACCAATTTGAACGCCTCCATTCAAACTGCTCTTATACTCAGTCATTCACAATATCCAATGTATCCAAACGTAAATTAATTGGGACTAAAACCCCAATGTGTGCTTTTCCCCCACCTATGCCATACACACACACATACACGCACACACACACGCTGATATGTGGATGCGAGAACCAGTGTGATTCCCAGTCCCTCAATCAGACTGGAAATTATGCAACGCGCTCGTACATTCAGTTCATTCATAATTAGGATAAAGGCGATGCCATATTTCATGCGCAAAACAAGACGTGTTTTTTTTTTTTTTTGTGTACGTACCTTTGCTTTTGCCACAGAATATCCATCGCGCGGGCTCTTGTGCAATAAAATGAGTGATGAATTCAGCCAGCCATCAGGTGGCAATGAATAATCAAAGGGGATGTGGTGATGGGAGTAGAATGTGTAAAAAAAAAAAAAAAAAAAAAAGGAGAAAATGATTGGGAAAGAAAAAAAAAGAGAAAGAAATAGAGGTGTTTGAAGAAAGCGACGGCGCAAGAAACAGAATCCAATCGCTTCCAGTCGCCTCCACACGATTCGCCTGGAGGCTGGAGCCCTATACGCGGACAATGTCACGGATACAGCCGCGCACAGGCCTCGGTGATGGAGGCTGAGTGATGGGAAACATCTGTTGTATTTCCGACGGGAGAAGGAGCAGCGAAAATCTTAAGTGGCCGTTTATGGCGAGTCTCAGCCTCAGTCCCCCCGAGAGACCCGCGTCCAATTAGGCAGTCGATATAACGCGAGTAAGCGGCAGACAGGCATCGGAGGGAGCCGAGGAGAAGCCCTGAGACAGCCACTGCCCTCCAGGCTCCAGGGCTGGCCGCTTTTGGGTGGTCTTTTGTCGGTCTGTCCGTGGTCCGTGCAAGCTTCACGGGGATGCGAGAGCTTGCGTGGTCCCCGACGTGCAAGATTATGATCCCGGGGACAATTAAAAACGCGGGTGGATGCAGAGGAAGGGGACAGAGGGGGATGCTGTGCCGAGTCCTGACAGCGCGCAGGGGCGGAGGGAGCAGCGAGGGGCCCGAGGGCGAGACTTCAAGAGGGGGGCTCCTTTCAGACATTCAAGACAAGAGGATCTATAATAATTGTTTTAAGGAAAAAACAATTTTGCCACAATCAACAAAAGATGTGCCTCAGACAAGAATCGAACCTGGGTTGCTCCAGGTCCCTGTAGGCTACCATTCATTGCACCTCTGGGCTAGACAGGGTACGCAGTCATATACCTGAGCGTCTAAGTCGCTGGGCAAAGCTTAAAGCGGACTTAGCCTGCCACCTGTGGCGATAAGATGTACTAATTTTCACGCAGGCTGCGTGATTCCCGAGAAGCGTGAATGAAGTCGACAAAACGGAATGTGGGACCTACTGTAGATGTTAAATGCTGTCTTCTGCGATATATAGATGTTGATATGACTTGTGGAAGATCGTTGATGCTTATTGAGAATAGAAGGGGACCTAAAGTGGGAGCCCTTTTCATTATGCAATTTGTTGGCCTAGGAACAAGTGGACACAACATAGTGAAAATGGGCGGTGGTATCAAGACCTATTGGGGGGGTGGGGGGGCGTTAACTTGTCAAGTTAGAAGGGAGTGATCTACGAGACGCAAAGGCGTTGGATAGATAATGGAATATGGAGGCCCAGAGACATATTTTGGTCAAATCAAGAAAATACATCATGATACATTTTAACAGAGCAGTGGTGGTTGAGTACCTTGATCGAAACCCAGATGGATAGGGAACAAAATATGAAATGCATTAGTGTATTGATATAACTGTTGAAATCAAATTTTCGAAATACTTAGCAAACTGCACAAATGAATAGAAATTGGCCGAAATTGTTTTTAAGTCAGTGGAAGTGCATTTCAAGACACTTACCAATTTCATGGGTGGACTTTCAGTTATGTATCTGGTATTAAATTTTTTTGATATTTTTTTTGTTGTCCCGTTGATTGAGTTTTTGCTTCATGTCTGTCTTGTTGATGTTTTGCCCCTCCCTGATGTCTACACCTTGTCCACTGTGTTATTTTAACCCTGTGCTCATGTCCTCTTGTTGTCGGCCCATTGTTGTTTTCCCCCCTTCTCTTGTTCCCGGTTTCCAGTTTTTACTTTTTTTGGCATTTATTAAATTATATTACTTTTGCAGTTCTCTTTTGCGTTCATCTCTGACAACCAAGGATTAATCCAGACCACTGAGGCTCAACAACTGGGCAATGAAATTTTGGCGAATAACATGTGTTTTCCACCTCCACCAACTACATCAAGTGGTGCTCCTTCATCACTATCATTGAAATTTGCACCAATGTGTGTCCACTCAGTCATTCTAAAAAATAAATAACACGCAAACAGTAATTTAAAGAAATGTATAATTCAACCCAACTGTAGTTTCAGACAAATTGCCTGTACAAGTTGGGGTTAGCCAGTGGTCTATGTTTCTGTCTTACTGATTGTAACCTCGCCGGGATTTCCAATGCCTGGGTCGCGCTCTAATCTTTACATAACTACCCCAGAGAGTCGTAAATTAAGGACCAAATTTCGCATGAAATTTGGACTATCACAATTGGATTGGCTATGGGCGTCATAGTATATTCAAGATAAATGCTCTGGGCTGTTGTGCAGATGAATCGTACGGGAGGATCTTGGGAGTGACGTCGTTTGTTCATAGTTTATCCGCCGGATAGTCCTTCTATAAAACCAAGACATCAGCCACAGCGGCAGACATCCTCATCAGTTCCTGAAGGTTCGCAAGGTGTTTTAAAACTAGCTATCCATGAGGAAGGAAGGACGGAACACAACTGTGGCACTTGTGGGATCTCATCCAATTCTTGCAGGTAATTTGGTTCTGCTAGCTGGACTTGTGGTTCTGGGCAATGGCTCCCCCAGAGTCGATTGGCTGAACACAACGTCTGGGAGCGAGGCAAAGCTAACTCCTTCAGGAGATAACAAAAAGAAAATTCATCGAGCTATTACTTAAAGATCTCTCATTAAAACTGCAATCATAAGTACACAGACTAATAACCCCCCCTTCGCCCCAAAACAATATTGAATACTTTTAAAAGCTGAAATGTTATGTAAGTAAATGTACACAAAAATTCCTTATAAATATCCATCCCTTTTCTTCCCCCTTAATACATTTCCTGGATGGGGGGGTGGCAGTTCAGAGCTGCACCCGTTCACAAGCACCTCATTAGTAGTGTATATAAATAATTAAATCTACCTTATAACATGCATAGCCACTTAAAAGTATTAAATCTTTGTTAAAACTAAACTAACTAAAATCTTTAATAAAAAGACGGGGTAAATACTTTTTATATAATGAAGCTTGCAGTGTATCAGGAGTTAGATGAGTGAGGACACAACGCTGAATGCCATAATTAAGATTTATAAAATTAAGTCCAAAGGCAAAAAACACAAACTCCAAAATCCAAATTAACCAGGAACAGGACTGAACTTGACAAGACACTTAACCAGCAACAAAGGGAGAGTAAGCACAGGTACATATAGAACACAGACAGAACACAGAAGAAACACATCAGGGCGGGCAACAATCAACAGGGGAAACAGGACATGAAGTAAAACTGAAAAGAAACCGAGAAACTAATGTCAAAATGAAACCAAATACAGAAATAAAAACCACACCATGACATCAGTGGACCTCAGATCATCAGATAAACTTAACAGGCCTCACCAGAGGTAGTTGGGACGTCCTAGGAGCAGGTTAAAGATTATGGAGGACCTAAGTGTCCCAGAGGGTTCATAAAATAAAATAAAAGCGAATAAGCTAAATAAACAGGAACTGAGATTATTAAACATTCATAAAGCAGTATAAATAAAAGCAAAAGTATCTTACAAAATTAATGCGCCCAAACACTAATACTTTTTTTGCAAGAGGTCTTGGACGTTTTTCATGACATGGCTCAAACATGGATGGATTAAAGTGGATGTCAAAGCCTCTCCAAATATTGCCATAATTTAACATCCTATTTATAGGAGGTTTTCCAATGAGAGCCGACAAAACGTCGTGGGTCAGGGAATGCAGCAGAACCAAAGATCCATCGCACCACAAACATTTCAGGCCGTTACAAAGACATTTGTTACAAACTTTCTCATTGCATCTGACATAAATGCCTGTAAAAAGTAAATATAATGGATGGTGGGGTGTATCACAAGTGCAGACGTAGGCTATTGGCCAGTGGGGAGCAGCTTTTTGAGGGTTCTTACCACGGTCTCATTCCATAAAATGGCTTGTGTGTCTTCTCTGCACTATGCACCCTGTAGCATCCAGGTAAAACATTGTCCTCTTTGCATCTTGAATGGAAAATATATAGGCTTTTGGGACTACAGCATGATGGCCTATTAGGGTGTTGCCATGAATCTTCTGATTACATCTCCATCACACCTTTGGCTGTTCTGAAAGACATCAATTGTTTCATTGTGATAAGGTAAGATGTTTTTTTCCCCGCTGTACGAGGGCGTTGTCCACTTGCACCAACCTCAAATACAACTTCCAAAAGGTTCCTATTTCTCCAGGTACAAATTTACCTACAATTTTCTTGCCCTTGATCTCACTGGTCTGCATATTAACTATTCTGTGCGTGAGCCCCGTGACCAGGTAAGAGTCACACCGCCTTCAAACTGATGTCAGTAGCACTGGACTGAAGCTGTTACCGTACATCTTTAAATGTACAAAAAAAGCTGTACATGAAAAGTGCTTCTCTAGTTTTTGATGTTTTCAATAAATGCCTCTTGAATCCAAAACTGCAAAATGATGAACTGTCTTTAGTCCTCCGCATTAAATTTGTCCAATTGAAATCAGGAAAAAAATGATCTTTGCAATGATTTTCCAATTTTTGCCATCATTTTATTCCAAATATAAAAAAGGGGTGGGTTTGGTAAGTGGCAATGAAAGAATTTGTCTTTCTTCAGGCTTGAGACAGAGCCCAGAAATAGAAAAGGCCAATAAAAAAAAAAAAAACAAAGAAATAAAAAAAAAGCAATGGTGTGATAATTCAATTACTGTAATCAATCCAAGGCAAAACTCAACAGGTTTTATGAAAGAAGGCATATTTTTAAATAATTTACGTAACCTGGAGGTTTTTTTTCCCACAGGCAGACTAAAGTCGAAAAATTTAAATGAATAATATACCTGAGACTGAAAAATTCCATTTCCCATTTTGTACCGCAGTGCTTCGCTTTCCCCTGATATTGGGAGAATGGGGGGGAAGTTTTTTTCCACGCAGTCTAAAATAATATGATCATAACATTTTACAAATGTTACTCTATTTTCCATTGTCTAACGTTGGCACCTCTATGTCTCATCAGAAGAATCAGGGGAGTGGTTCCCAACAGCAGACCTAAAAATGAGAGAACCTTGCCATTCGATTACTCAAACTGTGGAAATAAATATCGTCCGAGTTTTACGATTTTAGCTGCATGTGTTTTGCATTATCCCTTTGAGGTCACTGAATGGGAGTGGGTCTTTGTCAAGTCTTAACAAATAGTATAATCTTTACACAAAATAGAGAAGCATCAATAACATATACGGGGGTGGAGGTCCCAGTAATAATAAAAGGTTAATATTACAGTGGTGGCGAACCTGTTGCCAAAAACTAAGACTGTAAATCGGTTTCTGCTCACAATTATGGTTAGCTTCCCCAGGGTACCCCGAAGCAGTATGCCTGCGGAAATTCCATGTATCCGGTCATCGTCAGGGCTCTGGTAAAGTTTTCTCATTGTTTGGTCTGCCAAGGGTCCATCAAAGTGATCAATACCAACTTCAAGTCGAAAGCCTTTGCACCCTCTCTTCCCACATTGGAGATAAAACATTCACTCTAGTCTATCAACCCGAGATTCAAGGTGCACACGAAAAACTCCATTGAACCATGAACCCACTAAACATCCGACTCCCACTCACCTCCAGATCACGTCCAATGCATCGCGTCAGGTCGGTCGTGACCTTTTATTTACGTCCGAAGACGACGTCTGTGCAAGGTGCGCATCTGACGTAATAACAATGACCTCCCATATACGTGGATATGACGTCCAATCCGACCTCCTCTAGGACGTGA